TATTTTATATATTTTATATATTTAGTGTACCTAGATGTTATCCTGATCCTCGGCTGTGTCTTATAAAGTTTCTCTGCATTCGCAGGTCAGTCGCAGCCCGTTACCTTTCAGGCCAATCCCATCTTCAAGACGGAACAGGGCAAATATCTGGCAGACAGTAAGTGGAGCATCATCATCAGCTCAGCTCCAATAATCAAGTTTCGTTTGCCAGCTCTCGCCGATCCGTTGATCAAGGCCTTGACCGAGATTGCCAACAAACGTCCGAAGGATCCGGTTGCCTACTTAACCAGCTACTTGCAGCAATTTATGGGTCAGCGCAAGGCCATCACCGAGGTCGTTGTCCACTCGGGCAATAGCAAGATCAGCAGCAACTCCACGGCTCGCGCTAATTCAATGTCCAAGCTCAATGGGAGTCGGACGGGCAAGAGCCAGGCGGATATCATTGAGCTGGATGCCGGTTCGCTGGCCGAGGACCAGGAGGAGAATGATGAGGATGCCGCCCTGGCTGTGCAGCACCTGGAGGAACGCGATGAGCATGGCCAGAGCATGTTGCACTTTGCCTGCGCCCGCTCGCATCGTCGCGGTGCTCTGTACACTCTGATCGAGGAGTCACGCATCGATATCACCTACAGGGATGAGCTCTATCGCACGGCTAGGGATGTGGCGCTGCAGGCTAATCAGCCAAATAACGCCACGGAAATCGATCGATATGTGCTCGCCCAGGCAGTGCTGGGTGGGTTAATTAACACTGATTGCCCCTTGAATTCCCTAAATTCATTCCATGCCATTTCCAGGTGAAGTGGAACCCTTTGAGCAGCTGGCCCTGCAGGGCTACGATCATATACTCGATGTGGAGGATGAAAATGGCAAGTCGATTTTAGATGTGGCCACAGAGCATCAGCACGAGGCACTTTTCACCTTCTTAAGCAATCTACGCATGCTGGAGGAGACACGCGAGGAGCTGCATCAAATGATACGCGACAAGAATATGGAAAGGCTCAAAGAGCTAACCGCTGTGCCCAATGTCAAGTGGCTGATTAAGACGAAAAATTATTACGGTATGTGGGAGAGTGATAAGGAGAGCGAATGAGTGGTAGAGAGAGAGAGAGAGGGGGAGAGTGTATGAATTTTAATCTAGTCTAATCCATTTTTTCTCTAGGTCGCACTGCTCTACACATAGCCGTGTTGAAGGAGTCGGAGGACATGGTACAGCATCTGGTACAGCTTTGCCCAGAGGCACTCAAAGTTACAGATAATGTGAGTTGGATGTTAAGTCTGATTAATCTTTCATTTATAGCTCTTCTTTTCTTTTCCTTTCCATCTCTATCTCATCTGTCCTCTCCCTCTCCCTCTCCCTCTCTCTCTCTCTCCCTCAGCTGGAGCGCACCGTATTGCATTATGCATTGGGCACCAATTTCTGTGAGAGTGTCAGTCGCATCCTTATACAAAATGGCGCCAAGCGCACGGCGAAGGATCTGAAGGGTAGACAGCCGAGCTACTACTTTATCAACAAGGCGGACATCCTGCGTCTGCAGGAGGAGGAGGAGGAAAGTCGCTGAGCAATATTTATGATGTATAGAAACTCAACTAGCTCTAAGCTCTGTTCTAGTTCAATAAAAATGAAAATCGTTTAGCAATGATCGAACTTAATTGAAACTCATTTCGTACTTCACACAGTCTGCGCATGATATCTGCCCAAGTGGCCCATTGAGATAAGCCTGAAGATTTGCTTAAGCTGCCTTGAACAGCCACGCGAGACGCTCATTCATGACTGTCAACTGCCGAACGTTGGCTAACGTCATTGAGGAATTGTTACATGCTGAGATAAGATTACGACCAAATCCCTGGCCTTGCTGTGATTTCCATGAGCTGCTGTTGTGCGCTGGGCTTATCGATTTTAGAGTTGAGCCAGAATAAAAATGATTTTATGATTTGAAAACCAGCTAGCCATATATTAAATAAAGAATTTTAATATGCAATTATTGAGAAAGTGCGCTAAAGCTGTTAAACGAATTTTATTACTCATTCACAAAATTCAAATGAGTATATTGATTTTGCTTGGTCGTCTGTCCGTCTATATGATGAGTCTATTAGGCTTATTGAAGGCGTGAAAAATATAGTCTATAATTCTATGGACATTCCAAATTTAACTACCCAATAAAATTATTAATGTATATTTATTTACATATACATTGATGAGTTTGCAAAATGGAGCTGGCAGCATTTCGAATGAGTACACTGCAGTCGGTAGTGCCCGTTTAAAACGTTATTAAGTTTTGATTATATAACACTTTGTTGTTGTTAATTTTGATGTGCCAGCTGAAAAGTAAGAACGCTTTAAGAAAAGTTTACATAAAGTTGACTTTTATTAAATCCTTAAATTTTAAGGATTCGAATGATATATATATTTAAATAATATTAGTAAAATATTTTGCATTTAATATATGGTATTGAAGAGTAATATTTACTTTAATAGTATATAGTATATATTTTTATAGGGTATTAAAAAATCACTAAAGTCAACTCAAAGATCTCTTGAGCCTGAGCTCATTTGAGCTGAGTCTTCTGTCTGTCTAGTCGTGAGCATTATCTAAGCAAATAAATTGAACAGCACAATGAGAGAGTGTGTGTGTGTGTGTGGCTGTCTGTGTAAGTGAATGCATAAATATTTGTTTGATTTGCTGTCAATGGCCTATCAGAACATGTGAAAAATCACTGATACCAACTATCAAAAATTTCGTGTGTAACCGACTGAGCGAAAGTGTGGGCGTGTGTGTGTAAGTTGTGTGCGCTGATTTAAAACTAATGCAAAAGTATGAAGCATTAACGTGCAGCTGTTTAGGTGTAAAGCCAGCAGAAAACAATTGAGAGTTTGAGTTGCTTCTCGAAGCTGAACGAGTGCGGTTCTCCAACTAAAGTCGAGCGATGACAACGGAAGTGAACAAGGGTAATGAAAAGTCTAGAAAATTGTGATCAATTTTGGAATGTGTATCAGAAGTTGTCTTTTTATAAACTCATTCTCCTACATAGCTAAGATATACAATAGTGAAAAATATATATTCAAATAGTTCTTGACAATTTCACAAGTTGTAATTTGCAAAACATATGCCGCAGAGTTGTTTGAGTGCAAAATTATTGAAGTATTGAAGCAAATGACTAACAGAATAAGAGTTTTCTTAGCTACAAAAAAGAGCTATTTATAGAAAATCCATCTAAAATTTTGGTATATATTAAATCTAGAATTTATATATTTTTAAATTAGAATTTTGTTAGCTAATAAAAATGAGTTATTTATAATAATCTAAGATATATATTAAATA